TGGCCATTGTTAATTCTTCACAAAGAACAAAATGGATCATCATCAAAGAAAGCAGAGACACTAGCTTTTTTTCTTATTCACTGGTCATTTATTCATTCATATTGTGAAATATGAAATGAAAATTTACTACATCTCTAGTTTGCCACATACGGTTATAGGTAATACACATACATACAAATAATAACATAGGAATAAAAAGTGCGAGTTTCAATGGTAAAACTTTTATAAAAGCTGAATTATCACCACAAAATCACAATTGTTTTTGTCACATAAAATGGTTGGTTGGGTACATGGTAGGATGAGGACATTAATGAGTTTGCATTAGCTGACTGAAAATAGTTTCTAAAATTAAATATTTTAATCTAGTGTAAATAAATAAATGTTTTGTTAATGCACTTTTGGAGAAACCCGAAAGCTTTAAAGCACAGCCAGTGGATTGGAAGGGACAGCAGATGAAGACAAATGTCTAATATTCATGGTCACTATCTTCGTCCTAGTTGTTACATCATGGGCATGACAAGAAGCTGATGTAGTGGGATAATGGAATAATTCCTGAGGGATCTTTGTCAGGAAGGTAGGCTTTAGCAGCTGTTTGTAAATGGAACCTGTATAGTTTGTTTCAAAGAACTGTAAATTAAGACTTCTTACAAAGGGAACGAGTTCTTACATTCTATAAATTTTGCCTTCTGAAGAGAAGTATGCTAATGAAGTTATAAATTCTTTGAGAGTCAAAATTATGTTAGAACTTTTGGTATCTCCTACCACAGTTGTGAGTTTGTAGTAACAATTCAATAAATACTTATCGAATAAGACTGGATTATTTGCACCAATGTTAACTGGTGAAATTAGTCCAAATCTCTGAACTTCGTACAGATGCTGAGTTTGGATAAACCTCAAGAGGAAAGTCTTCCAGGGGCTTTTATGACGATGCTGATTTAGGCAATCCTTTAATCAATAGTATAGTGTACAAAGGCGAATACGGGTGCGAGATGTAAGCTTATGTAATGAGATGGAAATGATGTGATGGGGTTCTCTTAGGATCTTTTGCTGTTGCCAGTAGGTTCCTGCTTCAGTGGTTCTCTCAGTAACTAAGGGCCTTTACTGAGTACTGCCAAGAAATAGTTGGCTGAGAGCTGGGATGTTTTAGCAGTGAACAGGAAAGAAGATGGTAGCATCCATTCTTTTCTACACTCTGAAGTTCAACCAGAATTCTGCCTCTGTTCAGTTATCTATCCTCCTCTGTTTGGCCATGTGCTTCAGAGAAGTGTTACCCAAGACACACGGAATGCATTCTGATTGCTTTAAATCAGTCACAGCAGGCTTTGCCAATAATTGATGCATACATGAGTATGAGATGGGGCTCTAGCTAATGAATCACAAGGGATGCCCTGCTACAAAACTTCTGGGAGGGGTTTCCTTGATCCTAAGAGAGACCCATAGAAAGGAATAATTCCTCCTCCTCTAGAAGAAGTAGTAACTCAATACAATGCCTGGATTTGCACTGCCATCTTGCAATCATGAGAAGAGGAAGCCCAAGGACACTAGCTTATACCTTGTGCACATCAGAAGAGTAAGGTAGAGAAAGAATGCATTCCTTGATGTCACTGTCGAGTGGATGAGTTGCTCTTTTTGGACTTACTGTTACGTGAAATAATATATTTACTTATATCCTTACTGCTATGGCACTTTCAGCTGAATTTTCTAGATTACCTGTAGAAAGAGTCAGACAGATCCTAAAATCTCAGTTTCTTTACTTACTTCCTGTATGGGGCTGGAGAAATCAACAATCTGAGTCTCAGTATCTCACTATGTAGTTATGAGGAATTAATAAGATACATTTTTTTTTTCCTTTTTAAGGATTTTATTTATTTAAGAGAGAGAGAGAAAGAGTACAAGCAGGGGGAATAGCAGAGGGAGAGGCTCAGATCATGACCTGAGCAGAAGGCAGACAACTGACTGAGCCACCCAGGCACCCCGATTGCCATCTCTTCTTGTTGGCTGCTCCTTCTTAAGTGTCTTTTGCTGGTTGCACCTCCAGTTCCCAGGCACTAAACATTGAAGTGCCCTGAGGCTTAGTCCTTGGACTTCCATAATAAGATACATTTTGAGAAGCACCATTTATGTCAGGCACATATTACTTAAAACATATTAAGTCTCTTTCTTGTATTGATTATAAAGAGCTCTCTGAGGTGCCCTTGTAAGAATCTTATACTAAGAAGCCATAGAAGTTCATCCTTCCAACCAAGTCCTTATGCTGCTCCTTCCCTCTGCACAACTTGAGCAGAGTGAGTGCAATCGATGTGGACAAATGAGTTGTTTGTGGGGTGAGAACCGTGTATCACCTTACTGCATAGCTGAGTTTTACTCTTTTTCATTTTTTGTTTGTGTACGTATGTATTTGCATAGCTGAGTTTTACTCCTAACTCTGGGATTGGCACATATGAGATTGCTCATAAACAGTAGCTGTTAGTAATCCTAAACTGAAAAGAATGGTTTTTCCTTTTCCTGGAGTATCTTAGTATCTTTAGCATGGAGTACTGTAGGTGCCATATACTCAAAAGGCACATAACAAAGCGGATATGACCACGGAGCTGGGTTCCTACCTCATGGGCAACGCAGAGACGAAACAATCTTTTTAATGTGTTACTCTATATTCAAATCAGTCATGCCCCTATTTTTTCTAGCTTCCTTTTGTGCACAAAAGAAGTTTTTCTCACAGAGAGTCTTCCCATGCTCCTATAATACTAGTGAAGAAAAGAAATGGAGAAGGAGGGAATGTCAGCTGCCCTTAAGGAGTGGAAGGGACTGCTCAGGCTGTGGACTCCAAGAGGCAGAGCTGGAGTTGAAGGGGAGAAGATAAGCGGAGGAGGCGTGGTCAGGTTTGAACAATCAGAAGTGCCCAGTACTGGAGGCCCAGCCATGCCTCCCATGTGCTGAGGACTCCTCTACGGAAGTGTTGACACAGACTCTGTTGACCATTTATCAGGAATATTATAGCAGCTCTGTTCTTCGGAACTTGTAAAATGGGGATATTAATCCCAATTTATCAGCTCACAGGGGAGGGATTTGATCCAGCTAAGTCTGAGGAGACTCCTTGGCTGGTTTTCCTGGCATCTGTAAAGAACTAGTTGCAATGGTTTCCAAACTTCACTGCAGAGCAAAATTAACTTGGGAACTTGGAAAAATCTAGATGCCTAGGCCACATCTGCAGAGATTCTGATTTAATTGGTGTGGGGTATGGCTTAAGTATTAGGGTTTCTTCAAAGCTCTCCAAGTGATTCGAATGTACAGAACCTTTGAGAATCACTGCGCTAGCATACTAGAGATTTAGGATTCTGAATTTTAGTTCAGAATCTGATCTAACCAGAGATGTAACATTGAGCAACTTCTTTACCTTCTTTCTCTTGGCTCCATATTTCTTATTTATTAAAGGGAGGTGGGATATACATATTTCTAAAGCACTGTCCTTCAAAATTTTATTATTCTAGGGCCCTTAAAAGTTTATGAATTATGGAGCACCTGGTGGCTCAGTTGGCTGAGCAACCAACTCTTGATTTGGGCTTGGGTCACAATCTCAAGGTCATGAGATCGAACTCCAAGCTCAGCGCCTCGTCTGCTTGAGATTCTCTCCTTCTCTCTTTGCCCGTCTCCCTAGTCACTCACTCTCTCTCTCTCTCTCTCTCACATAAATAAATAAAATATATTATTAAAGTTTATGAATTATGAAAAGGCAACTTCACTGCTTTCTCAAAGTAGAGGAGGATCTCTGCTTAGTGACATGGGAATTCTTTGCACTCTTTTGGTCAGTTTTAATGGCAGTCATAGACTCTCCTCAAATGGGGATGGTTCTACCTCATAGCGGAACATGTGGTACCAAGAGTGTTCAGATGGCAGGTTTCTCAGCAGTCCTCTGCTGAGAGTTGGGGTACAGCCTAATTTGAGCACAAACGGAGAGAGGATAAAAGACGGGTTTCTTTACTCTTCTCCATGATTCCAGAAGATCCTTTACTGCCAGAGTTAGAGTCATCTGATGGGTCACTGCAGGTTTTTCTTGGTCTTTTGTGTGGATGTCTACCTTTGTGTTCTTTTGGGCTTGCTGCCCTACATTCAGCTTAGTGACTTGTTTACCAAGATTTTTCCTAACCTTAACCCAGAACTCTCAGGTTATCTTTTGGTCTTGATTTTACCTCTACCCAAATGAGAGTGTGTGTCTCATTGTCATTCTGGTCATGCAGCAACTGATTCCATTCGGGCGATGATAGACACAGAACTCCAATGTTCTTTTTTCCCCTAAAGAAATTTAAGGAGGGCTTCCATTATTAGGTTTTCTCAAAGATGTTGCTTGTATTTCATGGAATTTGTATTTGTTAGTAGTTTTATTTGCCACACAGTGTGCACAGAAGTAATCATAGAAATGTGGACTTATCATGAGGCATTGAACATCACAATTTTATATGGGGACTATGATTGAGTGATTTTTTTTAAGTGTGAAACTTCTTACTTCCAAAAGGGAAGGTATTTTTGGAAGGATAGCCTCCTATTATTACTTTAATACTTCCTGAATTTCTAGTTTAAAAACAAATTCAAAGACCCATTACTCTGTACACAATTCAAGTTAAGTCATCCAATTAAAACTCAGACAACCTTATTGGGAGAAAATTTTGGAAACTTTGGGTTACTTATGAAAGAGTTTAAAAAAAAGTGTTCTTTCTATTCTGGATATCAGACCAGGACACGTTTACTCTGGTGTTTACATAAATTCTATCAGTGCACCATGGAAGTGGGAAAGAACTGTTTTTATTTTTGTTTTTTGAAACCAGGAGGACAACAAAGCAATAAGAAGGATCATAGGGCACCATGTTAGTGACAAATCACAGGAGGTGGTTCCAGAAATGTTGTGAAAACTAGTTTCTCATTGCAGGAATTGGGTTGGGCCACTCCTTCACCTCCCCCCCCTTCTCAAACACAAATATTTTCATATAATAAAAGCCTGTTTCCCTATGGTTATAACCCAGCCTCCCCTCCTCGGATACCACCATTTTAAAGGGATTTACTGGCGCGGACCTTCCCGAAGTCCATAGGCTTTCTCTCTTTCTGGACCGTGTCTTGTAGAGGTGAGGCGCCCCTTCGGGGGCTCACGCCGGGTGAAGGGAGAAGAAACACCCACTCGGATCCAACCCGGGCAGCCAGAGGCCGGAGCATGCGCTGAGAGTTTGTGCAGCTGGCCCTGGCTGCCGCCGCTGCCTCGTCCGGACTTGGCGAGGACTTGGGAGGGACAGCGGCGCTGGGAGGTGGCTTAACAGAGACTTTCCAGCAACTGCTGCCCAGGACTCTTTTTTTTTTTTTTTTCTTTTTCCCAGGAGGCGGCGACGGCGGCGGCGGGGGGAGAGGAAGAGAAGGAAGCGTCTCCTGCTTGAGGCAATGCAGCCCTTCGGCTCTCCGGGAGGAGCGTCCCTGCCCTGATGAGCCCCCGCAGTGCGTCCCCGACCGTCCCCCGGCGGGAGTGGGGCACGGAGCCCAGCGCCGACGGTGAGTGGCCGCACGTCTCCAGTCTTTCCAGCCGGCTGTCCCGCCAGCCCGCCGGCGGCTGTCCTCGGCGCTGTGTGCTCAACTACTTAGAGGCTGGCGGTGGGGCTCCCCGCCGCCGGCGCTTCCCCCCGCGCCCTGCCGGGGGCGCGCGGACGCGGACGCGGTGGCGGGGCGGGGGACCGCGCTCGGCTTTGTGCTGCTCCGGCGGCCGGGAGCGCGGGGTCGCGGCAGCGGCCGGGGCCGGGGGAGGGGGACGTGAGTGACTAAACCGGCGTCTGCACAGCTGCACCGGCCCTAATTCCCCTGCGCCCCTCCCGCCCCCGCCCCGGGCTAATCCATCATTCCGGGCCGAAGCACCATTTCTCACGTTCTCCCAAAGAAACCCTAGTCGCCGGGCGGAATCCCAGCTCAGCGCCGCGCCCCCCAGTGCCCGGTGTTCACACTCGAACTGCGGATGGGGTGGGGGTGCGGAGTTGGGGGGGCCCAGGAGCTGTCCTCATGAGAGGGACACTTGCAGGCACGCACTCGCCGGCGGCGCCTCTGACGTCTCCCGGGGGTAGTGTGGTTTCCAACCTTCGGGACAGTTCCGAGCTGAGCTGTCCCCGAGGAGGGGCGTGGACTGAGGGAGGTTTTAAAGAGCGCCTCATCAGAATGCAGAGGACACCGCTGCGGGTCCCCAGAGAACGGGAGTTTACTGTGTGCCTTCATTCATCCGGGAGTCAATCTTTTCTCTTCTCAGCAGGTGTTATCTGAAGTGGGTCTGGAACTTTAGGGGAGTTTAGGTTACAATTACAACTTTAAGACCTGATCTTCGAGGAAGCGATGTCTCCAGTGACCTAGGCTTCGGACCAGACTGGGGACCCAGCGGAGGGCCGGCAGGGGAGGGATGGGCTGGGGGTGTGGAGCGCGGTGATAAGTCCCCTGTTCTCCCTGCCCCTGCAGATCGCTGCTACTTTGCCGGTGGAAGTAGGATGTGGTGAAAGGATGGGGCTTTTCCCTTTCGGGGCTCACAATGGCCAGAGAAGATTCCGTGAAGTGCCTGCGCTGCCTTCTCTACGCCCTCAATATGCTCTTTTGGGTAAGTCGAACGGTTCCACTGCACCAACAGGTGGGGACGGCTGGACTTGGTTTCCTACAGCCACCACTTAATGCGCCGAAGGGCATGGCTAAGCATTAATTAATTACACAGGATCGCACCGTCTACTTTTCAGATAAGTAAGTTTTGACCTTAAAATGCCTTTGATCTAGCTCAAGTGCCATTCGTAATTCGAAAAAAAGAAATCGACGCCTGGATACTGGTGGCAGTAAAATTAGACTTGAAGTTAATCTAGGGATATAAATAAATGCACGTGCTTGTGCTTGTAGATAAAAAAATTATGACATACTACTTAGGGAACTGCTTGTTTTCAGGAATTTCAGATAACTGTCCAAGCCATAAATTGTTTCCTTACCTCATAGTGGCCTATAAAATCTGGTTGGGGCAAGCAGTCTTACTCTGTTTTTGTAGGAATTCATACACAGATATCCTATCAAAAGACTGGGTAAATTTTTCTAGGAGATTCCATGCAGCCTGAAAAGGTGGTTTTCATGTAACTATTTCTAAGTTGGCCAAGTTTTAGGAATTTTGTGTATGCTTTTGGAAAATCCCATAACCATTTAAGGAAATAAAATACATAAAATTTAACAAGCTCATGGAAATCTTTATGCTGTATGACCTAGTGACTTTCTATGCTTTTGCACCCAGGCATAAATTTTCATTAAGTGTTATTAATAATCACGTTATTATTTATAAAACTTATGAGGAAAATATAAAAATTAAAACTTTGTTGCTTCGAGAAGCTGTCATGCTTAAGTGGATCGTTTTTGCCAATTTTGTGTTCTATTAATAATTATATTCATCATTTTCTATTAGAATTTTCATGTGTGATTTACTTATCTGGCTGACTGGCTGCCATTTGCCAGCCTCTTTTCATAAGAGGTACATGTGTTCTCTAGAGGATGACATTTTGGTTTGAACTAGTCCCTATGGGTGGCTGCATTTTAAAGTGACAAATTAAGACTTACTTCAGTGAGTAATCTGAAAGATACCTAAACTGGCAGCATTTTTTTCTCTACATGAAAATTAAAAAGCATCAAATAGTTAAATTCACTACTTGGAAATGTAAAATCACTAAGTGATCTTATTGCAGTTTTTGATTCTAAATATGTACCTTTTTCAATGGGTCATTAAATTACCTGCTTAGCTATAAGGTTAAGATTTTGAACTTTTTTTTTTTTTAAAGATTTTATTTATTTATTTGACAGAGAGAGACACAGCAAGAGAGGGAACACAAGCAGGGGGAGTGGGAGAGGGAGAAGCAGGCTTCCCGCTGAGCAGGGAGCCCAATGCGGGGCTTGATCCCAGGAGCCCGGGACCATGACTTGAGCCGAAGGCAGATGCCTAACAACTGAGCCACCCAGGCGCCCCTGAACTTTGTTTTTTTTTAATTAAAATATCACTTATATTTACTAGTTTTTCACTCTTCTACTTTATGCTTTTTAATTCTAGAATCATCACATTTTTACAGCTAAAAGGGGATTTATGACCTGTTGAACTTCCTTACTTTGTGGATGAGAAAACTAAGTGTAGGTTAGTGACTGGCCAGAGGTTAAATGGCCCAATGGCGACAGGATCAGTAGCCCCACTCAGTTTTCTTGCTCCTAAATAATGCCTTTACATGGATAATTACGGAGTTCTCAATCTTGGAATTACTAGGCTTTTTGCTGATGCTGCCCAAAGAATACTGATTTGGATTTTCTTAATAATCTGTATTATGTGGGGGTGGGGGGAACCCCAGTCATTTAACAAAAATATTGCTCTTCTGAGTAATGAATTTGCTTATAAAAACTTATTCCTTGAATTCCTCCAGGGCTTGTTCTATCCCCAAAGAATGTAAAATGTTCTGTCTTTGTTGTTATCCTGTACTTCAACTTTCTCACTTTCTGTGTGCATGTTCTGACATATTTATTTATTAAGATCCATTTCCCCTTTCTCCAGCCCTCTTCTTCTGCCACCTTCACCTCCAACAAAATAATCCACGCTAACCACCACGTGTGGATCCCTCTGTATTTTTCTTTATTTCATACAAATATTTATTTACTCATACCTATCCACATATACCCATTCATGTACATTTATATGTACATTCACAATATTTTTTTGTTAAATTATTTTTCTCATTTAGTCACAGGAGTGAGATTGCTACATTGGAGGATATGTGATATCGACAATAACAAAATAGCTAATCTTTATATAGTTCTTACATAGGCCAGGCACATATAGTGCTTCAGTTTCCTAGTCTGTGAAGTAAGGATGAAAGTTCCTCTTTTTTAGAGCTGTTGTGAGAATTCGAGTTAATACATGCAAAGTGCTTGAAACAGTTGCACATAACAGTGTTCTCTATGTGGCAGTAGTAACAGTGGATGGTAGTATTTGCGGTGGTTACCCCTCATTACTATAGTAATGATGCTCAAGTAGATTATCAGGAGGTGGGTTGCTTAGTCAAAGGAACCTCTGTGTTAGTAATAGCAGTAATTGTTATTGTTGTGATTAATATCACTAACACTGCTACATTTCTTTGACCCAGAAATCCTGTCCTGGGAATCTATTCCTTAGGAAGAAGAACATAAATACACCTCATTATATGCGCACACGTATTTGTTGGATCTTGTTGGTGTACTGGCACCTTTTAATTTTTGTCAGTTGGAAAGGTTTAAAATATTATTTCACTGTTGCTTTGTTTTTTTTTCCCTCCCCTCGCAGTTGAGCATGAGCATAATTTTCTTTAGACCTATATATATTTCTTATATATTATTTCATTTCATAATTCATGTTCATTAAATATTTCATATTTACCATATAGGTTCGCCTTGTTTGCCCGTTGATTTCATTTATACTGTTACTACACAATAGTTAAACAAATTTTCATATGCTGTTTTTAATAGAATTTTTCTCTGGGATTTTAAATATTCTTTCATATTCTCTGTGCTTTCAAAGCACCCACCTTTCTTGTTTTCATTCTTTTTCCCTATGGACTTAAAGCTTATTTTATATAATTAAAAATATCTGTTGGGATTTTTGTTGGAATTGTATGAAATGTGTATCTAACTTTGGGAGAATTAACGTTATTCTTTCAGTGTTAAAACAATGTTTGCAGATGCTATATTTCCTTACTGAGTCAGATGTAGTTTTCAACCTTGTGCCAGGCACATTCCTGGGCTTTCTTGCACTACTCATGCATCTAATTCTCATAACAGCCCTGGAAAATTGTTTGTTTGTTTTTTGGGGTAAAGAGAGGTCACTCGGAGAAGCTCAGTAACTTTAGCAAGTGGCAGAACAGGGACTCACGGTTCAAATTTTTTTCCTCCAAGGTTTGATAGAAGTTGACCTGCTGGACACGGTGGTGAATTTACTTGCAGTGAAGAGGCAGACACCCTCCGTAGGAAGGGATTAGCTGTCCACCTCCTCATTCCAAGTCCCCTAGTGCAGTGCTTCTCAAACCAATCACTTGGGCATCTTGTCAGAATGCAGATTCTGATTCAGGACCTCTGGGGTTGGGCCTGGAAGTCTGCTTTTCTAAAAAGTTCCTCTGTGATGTTGGGGGTCTGAGTGCCACATGTTGAAGAACAAGGAAGCAGTCCTTGCTTTGAGCTCTCATTGTAATCAGAAGCAGAATAAACCAGTGGAGCATGTAAGCCCAACTTCTTAAATAGACTTCACATTCAGAGTATGGAGAGGGATTGTTCTTGCCTCTAGTTTGGCAAGACTGAGAAACCTACCCTCGTAACCTCTAGGATCAAAAGCTGTAGCCTTTTACTCCTCACTTGGCATTTTGAAATTCTTTTTTCCCTATCTATTTTCTACTATATTGGTACCATCTCCCTTTCTCTACCGAAAAGGATGTTAGGGAAAAGAAAACTAAATTTTAACTGAGGATCTATACAGTTTTGTTTTGCTGTTCTGAGAGCTGAAAATTAAACAGAGTGGTTTTTTTTTTTTTTTTGAGTGTGTTTTTAAATATGAGGCATAGACCTAAGAGGAAGCAAGTAGATCACAAATGCACTGCTTTTTCTCCATTGCTATGGATCCAGTCATCTTGATTTGCCCTCTGTTGAGTGGCTCTCGCATGTTTTGAAGAAGCCTGACCCCAGTACAGCTGAACTGGAGTTGGCACACAGATAATGGACCTTCTAGGCTTCTCATGGGTGTTGTGGGTTTGTCAAGGGAGAAGTCACTGGGGATGCGCTGCACGTGAGTACACCGCCCCGAGAACTCTTTTGAAACCATGATTCACATTCTGGCCACAAAGAAGCAAGGAAATGAGTTGTTTTTACTTCAGATTTATCCCACTTTTACTGTTTAAATGGCATATTATTTAAGTAAACAAAACCTTTCCTCCATTTAAAAGACAGCTTCTGTGGCTTTATGATATGAATCCTTGCCATTCATAGATGGTAATTTTCCGCTATTACATATATGGATAAATATGGTTGTTTTTGGAAGTTCCTGCAGTTGATGAACACTTAACATTTATCAAATATGTTTGTTTATTATTTTCTAAAAATATAATATCCCATATTTAGTTTTTAAGTTCTATAAGAGCCATTGCTTTTCACCTACCATTACTAAAGAAAGAAGCAATAGAGATAAACTTCTCTAATGAGCTAGGAAAAGAAACTTACAGAAGAAAACCTAAAAAGTGGACGGGGAATCTAGTTCACACTTTGGGATATATGCAGGGCAAATGAAACAGCAGAAGGCCAATGTTCTGTTTCTTTTTCCTTGGCCATAGGTAGTGAACCTTAGCTATTTGACTCATGGCAGATCCTAACGAGATCTTGGCAAGTGGACATTCGTCTTCACATGCCATTTATTTAGTCATATAAAAATACGACTTTTTACATTGATGCCCCTAACTTTATACTATGAGAGTCATTGAAGTTTTCTCTAATTCTAAGGAATAAGGGAGAGACTTCCAACAAATGTTAGTGCTTTTTTTTTTTTTAAGATTTATTTTATTGAGAGAAAGCGAGAGCACG